TATTAAGGCTTTTATGGCGTGTGAGCCCATCAAAATATTGTGAGATTCGTTTCTATAAGGATCTCATTCTCACATATACGCGCTTAGTTTACTAACAAGTTGGCTCAGTTGTCAATTTTCTTTAAATATAGTTCCAATACTGTTACCATGCATGGAATTCAATGAATTGTGACTAAAATATACCACTACAAGCCTTTAAATCTGGTTTTAAATATACGCGATGAAATTCAGCCGGATTTTAGCTATTTCCTAACACACGCATACGCAAGCATTGTATAACACAGTACACGCAAATTATCTGTGTGCAACGAAATTGCTAAAGGACCTAAAAGGTGTGAAGAACTTATGAAAATTGACTGCGTATACAGCTTGATGATGTCTACAAGTTGAATTAAGTTAAATTTAAGAGTAATGGTATTACTTCAACAGACAATCTTTGACAATATAGATTGGGACAATCTAGTTTTCACATGCATTCGGTTGGAATATACCATTTGCTGATACATGTTTTCCACCCTCCCTCCCCCCACCCGTTTCAATTTTGGTGCCGCGCATCCAGACATCAGATTTTTGTTGGCCCAACATTGAACTGGGGGAATGGGGGGCGCTATTCCTTTCAAAATATATGAAATTACAGCAGCTGTCCCATAGTTTCTGGCAAAGATTGTAGATTCTGCAACATCCTTTGCACAATCCTTTGCACAATCATCCCAGAAAGCAACACGTTTGTGTGTGGGCCAACAATCAGAAGATTCGTACAGTGTAACATATCTCACCAAACCCTTCAGTTCATCCTTATTCCAGTCTTGTAAGTTCTACAAGTTTTTTAAACATTTTTACGCGATGCTTCAAACATGCTAACTTTGAACAGTTAATTGTGGACCTACCCACCCCCACCCCCAAAAAAAAAAATTTAGCAATTTGAAATTAGCCATACGTGGTTATCTGCAAATGTCAATATTAATTAAGGTTGGTTTACCCTGTCAAAGTTTCTATGGTCACAGTAGGAATTGCATAGGTAAATTCTACGTTTTGAAGGATTTGTATTAATCCGATCCCCCTGCCCTCTGGGAAAAAGTATTTTCTGTTACAAGTACAGTGATATAATACAGCTTTTCCCAAAATATAACCTGTTCTTTTTATTTCATCTAGGCAAGACATGAACGTTTTTCTTTCTACAGAATAAAATACATTAACCCATTAACAGGCAAATTATCTGCCCAAATGCAACCTACTTAATCATTTACTCTGTCTAATGCCAGTCGATTTTACTTGTCAGTGGTAGTGTAGCTGCCAATTGGTTGGTTTTGAAATTTTATTTATCATTACACACAAAAAATATCAGAGCCTCTATATATACATTAAATTATTTACAAATTATGGGTGCATGCACTCATGCATTCACACAACGCTCTACATACTCCTGGCCGATGAGGAGTTCTCAAACTACTCATCAATCTTAATCTTGACACAATATCACAAACAATAGTCAATAATACATATAGTTATCACCGTCTTTCAAATAATTAAACGTTTATGTATTGCATTCTTCTAAAAGATACACATCGACAATAGGTCTAACTAAGACCAAGTTTTTAGTTTGACTGTTCTAATCCTATTGTCTTTACCTGAAAATACTTTCGTGATAATCGCCATTTGCCACTGCCCTCTGGGTACCTTTTTGTTGCCAACCAACACTAAATTGCCAATGCGAACATTTTGTTGCACACTTAACCATTTCTGTCGAAGGTGTAACGTTGTTAGATACTCTCTTATCCATCTGTTCCAAAAGTGCTTCGCCAATATTTGAGCTTGTCTCCATTTTTTTCTCATAATTACGGATTCTTGGTCAAATTCTCTGGGGGGGGGAAACAACTGCGGGTTTTTGAAGCAGGAGATGAGCAGTTGAAATAGCTGTTGCATCACTTGCACCTTCACTCTTTCGTCAGAGGACGCGAGTTCAAGATGGACTCAACTTCGGTGAACACTGTTTGTAAGACATGATTTGTAACTAGAGATCCCTTCAAAATGGCTTTCAACGCATGCTTGACATCTTTAATCAATCTTTCCCAAACTCCCCCAAAGTGTGATGCATGAGGTGGGTTAAATATCCATGTGATGCATTTTTGCGATAATTTCTCCTGTAGATGATTTTCATTCCACTTTGCTATAGCAAGTTGCAATTCACTATCAGGACCACGAAAATTTGTTCCACAGTCAGTACGTATTTCGCGGGGTGTCCCTCTCCTCGGCAATGAATTGTCGCAATACGTTTATAAAATCGTACGTTTCTAACAATGGGGCCACTTCCAAATGGATTGTTCTGTAACACATACACGTGAAAATGCATCCCCATCTTTTTACTGTTGAACAACCTTGCTTCACAAGTATTGGTCCAAACATATCTGCACCGATGTAGGTAAAGGGGGGGGGGTTCATAAGCAATAACACGACAAGGTGGTAGATTTGCCATCTGCTGGTGCAACATTGGGGCATGTCCTCTCCTGTAGACAAAACACTTGTTGATAATTCTTCTAACTAAGGACAGCGCTTGACAAATCCAAATTCTTTGACATAGTACGCTTAATGTATGCTCTTGCCCGATATGAGCATTGTTATTGTGTATGTGTCTTGTGATAAGCTCTGCAACCCAATGATGTTTCGGTAGAATGGGAGGGAATTTCACATCATGTTTCAGAGGAGTGTGTTCTAATCTACTTCCTACTCGAAGTAGATCATCTTACCAATAAATGGATTTAGCTTTGCAATACTACTGGATACTTTCACCTTGTCTTTTCCACTGCAGGTTTCAAATTCTGCTAAGTATTCTTTTCGCTGAATGATCTTTATAATATCGTGTTCTGCATCTTCTAATTCAGCCGAGGTGGGTTTCCCACGCGAACAACTACAATTCTTTGAATGACAATTTCTAAGATGACTTTTGAATCTTGTTAGCCACACGATTTTAACTTTTAACATGTTCCATATGGAATATCTCTTTAACATTTGATCGAAACTGGATGTTTCCACGTCGACTTTCAGGAGGCGTCGTCGGTTGGATTTTCTTTGCTAGGGCAATACCGTCACTGTGATAATTCCGACTTCCCTCGAATTTCTGCAATTCAATTTCCCACATAAACTGTATACCGTTTACTTTCATTCTGGATATATTGACATGCTGCTTTTAGACAAATGTAATGACTGTTGTTCAAGTATTGTCTGTTGTGTGTGTTTCGTATACCTTGTAAATTGTTTCTGTATAACTATTGGGGCCGCTGTAATTGGCAATAGCTGTTGTGGTTTCCCAGCCAATGAATGTATAAGTATGATGGCAAAGTAAATAAATAAATAAATAAATATTTCAGTACGATTTCAGAGTCTGTCCAGTAGCAAACTCGGTCGAATTTGATCTCTATCTCGCGCTGGATCATCTAACCAATCCGAACCGACAGCACTGCCGCTTGCAATTCCAACCGGGGAATTGTAATTGTTCGTAAAGGAGCAGCCTGGGATTTGCCAAAGACAAGCGCACAGACGACTTGTTCCATCGATGAAGGTGATTCTGATATACAATGCAACTCCATAACCAATCTCACTTGCATCACTGAAGTTGTGGAGTCGAACGTCTTTTAGATCTTTGGTTGGGATTGATTTTGTTAGAATGTTGGATTTATAACAACGCGGTATTTTGATGTTTGAGAGGGCTGCTGGCGCTGATTTCCATTCTCTCCATTCCACCAGTTCTTTGTCTGGAAGTTGTGCATCCCAGTCAATCTTCAGTTGCCATAATCTTTGCAACTGGCATTTGGCGAGCAACGTTATGGGAGCAGCAAGTCCAAGTGGATCGTATAAACTTGCAACAGTTGACAAAATTCTACGTTTCGGGTTTGTCTGAGGCAATGATTTTAAACTCGAACGTGTCTGCTTCAACGTTCCATATCATACCCAGGGCTCTTTCCACTGGTAGCTTATCCATAGTAAGGTTAAATGACGGATTTGCACGTTCTGATGCTGGAACAGCGGCAAGAACTTTCTTACTAGAACTCATGAATTTCATTAGACGGAAACCACCTCAGAAGAAGCTCAGTAATCTCGTTGGAAAGCTCGATCGCTTCCTGTTCATTGGGTAGAGATTTTAGCAGGTCATCAACATAGAAGTCTTTCTCTATTGCATCAACAGCTGACTGGCTGAAATCATTCGAGTTATCTTTGGCCGTTTTCCGCAATGCAAAATTAGCGATTGAGGGAGAGTCATTGCCCCCAAATATATGTACATTCATATGGTATGTCTCTGGAGCGTCATCCAAATCAGATGGGAGCCACAGAAACTGCAACGAATCGTGATCCTTCTCTGGTACTTTTATTTGATGGAACATTTCCTGAATATCTGTGACAACTGCTATTTTTCCTTGCGAAAGCGTATAAGCACGTCGACGATTTCGTTAGTCAGGTTGGGTCCTTGCAACAAATTATTGTTCAAAGATGTATCTTCAAATTTGGCTGCAGCGTCAAAAACTATACAAATTTTCCCAGGTTTCACTGGGTGGAAGACAGCGTGTGGGGGAGATACCACATAGTTTCTGAAGTACTCGATGCTTCGTCTGGCCGTAGTTTTCTCATGTATCCCTTCTTTACATATTCTTCGATTTTCTCACGATATTTCTGATGTAAAACTTCATCTTTCTTCAAGCGGTTCTTTAGATGCTGAAGGCGCTTAAGGGCTATGTACCGATCATTGGGCAGTTGAGGATTATTTTGGCTCCACAGCATTCCTACCTCATAGTGATTATCAACGATAGTTGTGGATTCTTCCATCATCTCCAGAACTTTTCTATCTTCATTGGACATCACCTTTTGAGTATCCGACACTACACCAAGGCCATCTGCCTTAAAGTAACGACTGACTTGCTCTTTCAGATACAACTCTTCAGAATCGGTGTTTGAACGTTGTAAAAGATGAACGTCAACATGATTTGATTTTTCACAGTTAGTTGGTCCCATCAGAGCCCAGCCCAGTTTGTATTTGAATGCCCACAGTTCACCAGGTCCACCAACTCTGACTGGCTCGGTAATGAAAACTGCTGGATTGTCAGCCCGATTAGCATTTGAATTTCTTCGCACTCGACATCAGGAAAGTTTACATCCGACAAATGTTTCCATCCCAATAAGTTGTCTTTTCTTGGCACAACTTTAAGGTGTACATCGAAGTTGTCAGTAATTATTACGTCTCTTACTAGAAGCTTCAAATCTTCATGGGTTCGTTCTACGGCTTCAACAGTGACTGATACTTTCTCCGCGTTGATTGAAGTGGATCCAGTCAATGACTTTATGGAAAGTGTACTTCTGGTTCCCTTTAGGTTAAGATCTTTGGCTAGGTTACTGTGTATAAAGGTGGCTTCGCTCGCTTGATCTAACAGCGCGTACATCGACTTACTCTGGCCATCTGGTCCGCGGTCTACAACTGCCATGACTGGGAGTGCTGTTGTACCCTTGTAGACATCTGGGACAACATTCGCTGCATTTGTCTGGACATTGGCGTCACATGTAGTTACCTTTCATTGCTCCAACTTTTCAACATTGATTTGATCTTTCTTCGGTTCTAGGTTGTTCAAATGCAAGAGCCTATGATGTCTTCGATAACAACCGTGAACGTCGCATTTAGCATATTTGGAAACAAAGTCTAGATTCTATGTCATGTTCAGGAATATTGGACACGATTGACGGCGGTGCCTATGTTGACATAAAGGACATACAGGTGTTGTCTGATCAGCGTTATGGTCGGACTGTTTTGGTGCAAATTGTGTTTTGAAGCTTGAAATTCTTGGAGCGTTTATATTTGAGTCTGAGTATCTTTTCTTTCGGACGACATCAGTTTTATTCAACTCTTTCAAATTACCAAATACCGGGTTATTCTCGGAGCTTGCTCTTTCTTGTAGAAATTCCACCAAGTCGTAGAAACTAGGGAGCTTACTTCTCGACTTCAGTATTGAACTTGCGCAATCTCTCCTTTTGGCTTGCAAATGATACAGCAAACGGGCGACCAATCTTCTCATGTGATTGGTGTTGACTTCGCTGAGACACTTCATCGCTTTCATTGTCTGATAAATGGATTGACACTTGTCGGCTAATTTCTGTAGACCTTTCCATCTCCACTATTGATGCTTGTACCTTTCACAAGTGACCCAATGGATGCATCGACAATCATGTAGGGTTGTCCGAAGTGAGTCTTGATAACATTTAAAGCTTCTTGTAACACGCCGTCACCCACGCCTTCGTAATCTTCTATGGCTTCTTTCGCCTTCCCGTCTAAGTACTGCATCAAGCAACTAAGTTTTTTACTTTTGCCGATCGGCTGTGAAATAACTTGATCTCTAAAACGGATGGCAAATCTCCAATATTCCTTCAGATCACCAGCAAATTTAGTCACCTCCATCAGCGGCGTATGTGACAAACTGGCGAAGGTTTCAGCTAATCATTGAATTGTATCAGTTTCACTGGGAGGGGAAACAGGGACGCTTGAATACTTTACGGGTTTTTCTTCACTTATATGTGGTTTCAAAATGGGGAATTTCCCCTTTGTCTCTATAAAAGTCCTTTACACAGCGATGCATAACAATATTCAAATTCAAAAGGTGTATTGTTTTTTGTTAATTCATTATCGTCAAACATATTCTGATCATATTCAACAGCGAACTGGTCCTCAAGCTTAGCAACTTCAACATTGTCTTCTAAGTTACGCAGTTCTACTATCTGCCTTAGCTCTAACATGTATTGTTCAACTTCCTTTTCGAGATTTTGCCGTTTGCAAAGTTGATCTAAGGCTAGTTCAGCTTTCTGTCTTTTTAATTGTGCGTCAAGAGACCTTGTGCTTACATTAGTTTTGACGCTTGAATAGTTTGACCTTAACAATTTATTCGATTTATTAATACTAACTTCGCTTCTCATTTCGCAATCGTCTTCGAGACTTTTATCTACTTTTTAAATATGTTCGGCTGCACATTGGTCTAATTACATCCAAAAGTTCAGTTCTTTTTTGAGACTGTTCTCCGAATACCAAAGGAGCATTTTCAACCGCTAAAGTATCTCCGATAGCACACGCTAAATTTCATCATGAATAAAAGTAAAGCATTCCCATTGACGATTAATCATATCACACAATTCTCTCACTTCACTAGCATACTTAGTCTCTGATAAAAGTATATTATTATATAACTCCGTCAAACATCCTTGGTGGCCACTTCTAGATATCTTTAGCTTCACCAGTCTTTCTGCGTTTACGGCATCCAAGGTCTTCTATTATGGCAGGTTCGCTCTGCACCACTAACTATATGTTCGTTACTCGTTCTATCACCGTCACAGTCAATTCCCCCAAGTCTACCAGCCATATTATTACTTTCTGAAGTCTGTCTTGCCTCAGCCATCTCGCCTATCCAAGGTCTTTAACACTTGGATTCTCGGATTCATCTGGTTCGAAGGACCAAAATGTAGCTGCCAATTGCTTGGGTTCGAAATTTTATTTATCATTACACACAAAAAATATCAGAGCCTCTATATATACATATGCTCACAACTTATTTACATATCAATCAATTTACATTAAATTATTTACAAATTATGGGTGCATGCACTCATGCAATCACACAACACATCTACAGGTAGAGTGCTGGTGGTTAATGGGTTAACCAATTTACTGGCAGTATTTTACCACCACAAATGACAAGTAAAATAGTCTGGCATTAGACAGATTATATATTATTTAAATTCATATAAATTTATATTATAAAAATTTCAGTTCACACATGTAATATTTGTAACTTCATAGTGATGAAAACCTTAAGAAATGTATGTCAATACTCAAAACATTTACACTAATGTAAATTATTTACAGCCAAAATGCAACAGGCAAAACTCGCAGTATTTTGTACAAACAAAGATTTCTTTGAGGAAATATGTTGCCCTTCTATCTGTTCAATATTTCTCTGGTTCTTTTCCTTTGGCTTTCCAGGAGTGTCTCCTGTAGGAGGACAATGACATCTCTTGTTTGACATTATCAGTTCAGTTTTTGGCCTGTATTCAGTAAAATGAATTATTTCATGATTGAGTCGCTTTCTTTTGTTATTCAAGACCTTGTATCTAGCGTAATTATTCGTCCATCTGAAAGCCCGGGGAGGGATTTGATTTTCAGCAGGGAAGAGTGGGGCTGATGTATGAATTTGAATTGTTCAATACACACATGAGGAGGTATATATCTAGTTAAATACCCCATGAATAGTTTAAAACAGGTATTTATCTAGATAAATACCTCATTTAAACTATACTCATGATGTACTTAGTAAGAGTTAGATACCGAAAACGGAGGCTCTTAGTCAGATACAAACCCGAGGGGCCATAGGCCCCGAGGGATTTATGTGACTAAGAGCTGACGTTTGAGGTATCTAACTAACTTAGTTCAGATTTGTAAGGATTGACCCACAATTAAATTTACTTTATGATATGTATTGTTCTTTAAATGAGTTTGAATTACCATGGTTGTAATAAAAACAAACAGGGCTTTCGCATTTGATATGCATCAATTCTCGTGTCGCACTACTGTATACTATCAATGAGAAGTGATTAAATATTCATTCACCAACCACAATTACGATGAAATATGTTTGAAATAGCTCATACAACCAAGAAGTGCTAACGAACATTTGTGCGGGTTTGTCGAAGCAGAGATTCTCAAGTTGTTCTCAAGTTGTTCTCAACGGGGTTTTATAAAAAGCATAAAAACCGAATAGACCGACCATGAGGTTTTTATGTTGTTTATATACCTATCACACCATTTTCTATTGTCCTCGGGAGGTTGTGGTACGAAATAAAGTTGAACATGCGCATTAAACACGCTTTAATGTGGTTGAGCATGCGTAGTATATCATTTCGCGTCCCACAAGCAAAAGAGCAGATATTACTGTATAAATGCCTTGCACGAGCAAGTTTGATGATTGGTTCAGCTAGTCCTCGTGCACCGAATGATAAATACTCTACCTACCCAAAGGTAGAGTTTGACGGCTCTTGAGGTACACGGCTGTTGTCTCTTACTCGACTCAGAGACATACATGCAGCATTTTCTAGTCGAAAAGGAGATGTGGGGTTTGAGTTTTGTTACAATTTCAAGGTATCTAACTCCATAGTGACCTCTAATAGGGGTCACTATGGAGTTAGATACCTTGCATTTTTAATTAGGCATTCAATTCTATTCATCAACCCCGCTTTTCCCTGTGGAGATATCAAATCCCTCCCCTTGCTTTTAGATTCTTACCCAAATAAAACCCTGTTGAGAACAATAGATATCTGCACAAATATGAAGGGAGTGAAGACGACAACGTTTGCTCAAGGAGACTACTGAGGAAAGAGAAGCTCGCCTGGGAAAGCGTAGAGAAGCATGTTAAAGACTGCTGAAGCGAAAGGTAAGCAAAGGCTTGTCTTCACAATGCTATGTACCAATGATACTGTAGCTATACAAGTTGAAGTATGATATTCGACCCTCTATATGCGACTATTTCTTCACAATTTTCCAATAAAGAGTTTGTCATGACACACTCAAGTCAGTATAACCAGACTGTATTTTATTTATATCAGTTAGTCACAGCCACAGGCAATTTTATGCTGTCAAATACTGTCGGTTGCATCTAAGGGTGAACAGTTGCAGATAAAAATTCTCTATTCTCTAACATGCAACGATATATTTTTCAAAGTTATCAATTCCTAAAATTTGTTTATAGTAAAACGGCCTGCTCAGCACTCACTACTCACGATGATTTCATTTAGAAATGCTGTTACCAGGAAAGGAACTGATTCTAAAATATGTAAATTTAAAAGCATTGGCTAACAGAATAAAGCGATGTGAAGACAAGGTATAAACTTTTATAGTTGCTATTTGTTATAAAATCCTGTAAATAAACCGATTCAACAATAATTTTGCCTCGAATTTGCATATTCTATGCTGCATGTTTATATTTTATTTTTATAGTATAAAAATAAAATTGTAATAGTATGAAATAAAATACATTTCTGTTTATTGACCAGTACTTATTTAATGTCTTCTTCATCCAGTGGTCAGAGCAAATTTCTACTTCTTCGAAGTAAATATTTGACAAGCAGTCTGGAATAAGCACAGGAATAAGTACAATAAACCATTTAACAGTAGCAATATGAAAAGTTTTTTCTTTTTCCATGACTTTTAATGCATCAGCCAAATCCAAGTGTGTCCATCCCCCTCGCCCAGCCATTATCCTGTAAAGCACATCCCGGGGATTGGGCATTTCCACTCGAACCTTATGCACTTATCATCGGCTTCCCCGGGGGTCGACCCCTGGGGTGTCCCAGGGGGAACCCCCGGGAACAGGAGGGGATTCGTTGTCTTTTGTAAAAAATAGTGTCCCTCGGGGAAGGGGAATTGTTTGGGTTTGGTAACAGGCACTGTTAACCCCCGGGATAAACCTGCGGGATTTTGTTTCACATATGGTCAGCGGTATCTAACATATATGTCCAATATAGATATAACCATCAGTTGTCAGGTGGTGAAGTATATTCATATTATATTTTTATTTATTACCTTGAACATGTCTGTCAAATGCATTTAAATATATTTAGCCAAATACTTTTAATTACGTTTCCCACATGAGAACCGTAATGTGAGATGTAATATATTCATATTATATTGTTATTTATTACCTCGAACATGTCTGTCAAATGTGTTTAAATATATTCTGTCAAATACTTTGAATTACGTTTCCCACATGAGAACCGTAATGTGAGATATAATATTATATATTTTATATACATAGTTGGCCACAGTATATGTAAGTAATAATAAAATATAGCAACGTAGTATAAGCATCCTACACCGAATGACACCCTTCGACCATCACACACCATCTGACAACTACCTGACAACCATCTGACACACTTCGACCATCATACACAATCTTCATCTGACAACCCTTCCCTGTATAATCACCCTAAATCATCATACACCATCTGACAACGATCTGACACACTTTGACCATCATACACCATCTGACAACCATAGATATGTTATATACACTAGATAGTGCATCTAATTATTCTGCAATTCAAAAATTGAAGCTGTGATTGCAGTCTCAGGTCATTCCTATGAAATGAGAAGATTCGTATGTTTTCTATTTCTTAAACCGGGAACTTAAACATTAAGTTAACCCTACTCCAAATACGTTTTTAAACTATTCAAATGATGAAAGTTCTTGTTGTTTTAAGTGTTTATTAGCAAGTGGGAACGACCAACATGGCCGCCATCTATTCAAATGGGGGTAACCGCTGGAATATTCTTAGCTTCAATTTTACTGAAAAAGATGCGCTATCTAGTGTATATAAGATATCTATGCTGACAACCCTTCCCTGTACAACCACCTTACACCATCATACACCAGCTGACACACTTCGACCATCATACAACCATCTTCACCATCAGACATCAGATATCGATGCCTGTATTGGACATTACTCTTATCTAAGAATCATTGAGTCTGAATAGTATAAACTTCATCTTACCCTAATTATTAAAGATATACCGAATGGTTTTCCGTGCAGGATTGCGTGATCCATGCACGAGGGATGTCGCGAGACTTTCGGAAAGCGTAAAAATACTCGAGCCGCAGGCAAGTGTATTTTTATGCTTTCCGAAAGTCGAGCAACATCCCAAGTTGCATGGATCACGCTATCCTGCTTGGAAAACCATTTGGTAATTGTTTTATAAAATAACTACAGTGAAACAATGACATTTTGAAAATCCCACGAAGGCATTTTAATTCCTCGTGCAGGATAGCCTTATCCTGCACGGCTATTGACCAATCAAATTGCGTGTTTCACTGTAGTTATTATATAATTATAATTCGGCGCATGCGGAAATAAATTCTTTCAAGCGTGCATGCTTTACATGCTTGAACCTGACATTTTTGGATGGTTATTTTAAAAATGTTTACTTTTCCGCTGTATTTTGTATCCAGTTCACCAGTTATATAATATTTTGTTTTTGTTAGGGATGTTATGTTTGCTTTTTTGCCCCGGGGGTAGGGGGCACTGTAACATGATTTTTGTCATTAAACTTTCCCCTGTACCCAGGGGCTTTGTTAATGTTTTGTTCCATCCTCTTAACAAAAGCCCCTGGGTGGTTCGGAGTTCGACCCCCGGGGAAGCCGATGATAAAGTGCATTAGGGATTTGGAGGTTTTGCGATCACTGATAACTTGATAATAATATAAAACAAAACACTTCTCTCTGCAACTTTTACAATCACTGATAACTTGATAATAATTTAAACCAGTCAAGTTGTAATTTCAATATCTGAGAATAATACATGGGTGCGCGGAAATACCAAATTTATTTTGAGCGTTGAACATGATATCTCACAAGTGAGCGCAGCGAACGAGTGAGATGTCATGTTCAACACGAAAAATAAATCTGGTATTTCCAACCACCTCATGTATTTAACAAAGCTTATGCAAGGCTGGATGGTCAACTTGTATTCATATCATAGAAACTAAATTAAGGAGTCAGGTCAGCCAATAGGCCCTTCCAAGATGCCATTTGAATATTTTCACCCTTGTGTTTGCACCCCTTGCAAATTTATATATAGGGAATTCTGTTGTGTTTGTACCCCTTGCACTAGCTATTGTGTTTTATTATAGCATTGTTAACATTGGAAGGGTCTATTGAGTGGGGTGACTATTTAACAAGATATTATCATGCCATTACAGAAAAGTGATAATTGAAAAGCAATAATTTTCACATGTGAGATTATCATGAATAATTTCACATGTGAGATTATCATTTTTATCAGTGCTCGAAATCTCTATAAAACACTATACTTTATATAATAAAAATTCATAAATTTGAACCACACTAGAGCATGATAACAGCAAAATGCTCTAGAGTATGATGCACAATATTTTGGGAGGTGAAATACATGAACAATAAATCAGAGAGTGTTTACTTGAAACTCACTTACAACACCCCTGATAATTGTTCATGAGGAATTTCAGGTAGATTTCCAGTGCACTTTTAGGTAAATTTAAGTAGATTTGCAGAAGATTTTCAGGAGAATTCAGGTAATTCTCAGGACATGAGAAAGTGAATTTGGAAAATAACTGTATTTTCGGAAAAATTATTATATGTCCTGAAAATTTTTTGTACTTCTGGAAACATTTTGGTAACCTCCCCCCCCCCCCCCCCCCCCCCTGAGACGAAGTGCTCGCAACGGCACTGAGTATACATCTTTTGAAAACAGGCGAGGGGTTATTGCATGCATGTTATTTCTAGTACACAACTATAACTGTTAGCGGTGGTGAGAAGGAGAATATCGAAGCTAAGTTAATTTCACTGGCTTCGATATCTAAAAAACCAGCAAATTCCGTTGTCAGTGAAGACACTAAAATACCGGACGAAGACAACCATATTGAAATTGGCAATGAAAACAACGATATTTGCATACATAACAAAGAAGATTCTGCTTTAGAGACATATATTAAATCCCTCGATTGCCAAGTTAGATTGTTAGTGAAAGAATTTACAACAAATAAAACAACAGTTGACAAAACGCTACAAGATCATTCGAAAATACTAATTCAGCTCCAAAATCGAGAGACAAATAGTGAGTTGGATAGCCTAAGAAAAGAAAACCTTAAACTAAAAAAACTAAATAATGAGTTTTCCAAAATAATATCATAGTTGCCTCGAAATCCTTTGTCTCGCGAGGTACGATTAATCACTAATTTACCTCATTACCCATGCATACGCTTTGTCTTCTAAATTTACCCGGTAAATTTAGTTGAAAACAAAGGATTTCTTTGTCTTCTAATTTTCCCCTGCATGCTTGATGAGGGAAATTTAGAAGACAAAAGCGTACCTCATTACCTCTGATTGGAGAGCTGTACCTCATCGAAAATCATCGGCACAACTATGGACAGTATATGACGACACCGTCCAGTACACATTCGAACAATCACTTTGCCAGCTTTTATTCCCTAATCTTGAACATTACAATTGTGGGAGAAAATTTCGTTTATGCGCATGCCTAAAACGAATGAACACGGAGATGTGTTTCTGCGCATGCGTATATATGAAAAGTGTTCATACCACAATCATAAGACAATCAAACAGCATTCAAAACAGGCAACACACCACGCGCAATTCCCTCGGCAACTATGATATTACAAAGTAATAGCATGGCATTACGGTCGATTAGTGATGAAATGTACCTGAAAGCCTCAAGAGGTTTAGTTACTAAACCTCTCTCGGCTTTCGGGTACATTTAATCACTAATCGACCTGAATGCCATGCTATTACTTATAAGAATTAACAATCTTAGCTGTATTCTAGCAGATCTTCAAGACAAAGCAAAATCAGCAGAGGATGAAAAAGTCAGCTTAATCACGGCAATTAAACTATTGTACAAGAAGAACGAACGAAATCAAGAACAATCAAATGTCAATCAAGCAGATCAAATTAATTCAGAGGAACAACAGAGGCAACAACATGACCCGAGATGTCACCAAGTGAATCCGAATATTCAAATCAATAATCGCTTCGCTGGTCTCAGTGTTGAAGAACATACCGAAGAAGTGTCAATGCTGCAAGTCAAGTAACCCAAACGTTAACCGAAACCTGTCATAAGGAGAGCTGGAAAGCTTCAGCTAACAGATTCAGTGCTGAACAAAAGGGGTTGAATACCACTGCAAAGAAACACAATAACAAGGATGATCGACAACTAAAGCGTCATACAACAGTGGTGATAGGCGAATCCATGATCAAGAATATTTAAGGACCAAAGCTTGGCGAAGAGGTCAGTAACCAGGTCGTAGTAAAATCATTTCCGGGTGCTACATCTGAAGATATGAGACATTATATCAAGCCAACAATAGACCGTTGACCAAATCGAATTGTTCTCCATTATGGAACTAACGATCTGAAAAATTACAGTCCAACCGTGGTTGCCGAGAGGGTTGATAGTCTTGCAAGTGAAATGGAAAAGACCTCTGAAACTAAAGTTATCATTTCCGAACTTGTTGCAAGACGGGACATGAATGATCAAGTTAAAACCGTCAACAAACAACTCAGAAAACACTGCCAAAGTAATGGCTGGACACGTATTCAACATAATAACATTAGCTTTGCTGATTTGAACAGAGGAGGACTTCAGTTAAATCATGAAGGTAATTGTAAATTTTTTAAAAACTTTGTAGATACTATAGTAACTAAACCGGAGGATTGAAATGTATTTTCCTTGAATGCCGTGTCTAATGAGAGTTCCTCGAATAATTTATCTAATCTCAATTTTGAAACACCTATAGCTGATAGCAACAATTTGAATACGAAATCGATACCACCCTTTCCCACAAAGCGTGGTTTCAAACTAGCCTCTTTAAATATAGCTAGTTTGATAAAACATATAGATGAACTGAGAATTCTGCTTGTCAATTATCCAGTAGATATCCTCTCAATCAACGAAACTAAACTTGATAATTCGATTAATGATTGCAAAATACATATCCCTGGGTATGAAATACTTCGCCGAGATAGAGACCGACATGGTGGAGGTGTTTGTTTCTATATTAGAACCACTATTAATTTTTCAATACGTGAGGATTTTAAGTTTAAAAAATTGGAAAATTTATGTGTTGAAATTCGAAAACCTCAATCTAAACCATTTGTTGTTGTCAACTGGTATAGACCACCCAATTCTCCTGTTGAGTTGTTTACTTCTTTTGAGTCCCTTATCAGATGACTTGATGCAGAAAATGTTGAATTTTATTTAATGGGTGATTTTAACTGTAATTTAGCTAACGATAGTACTCAGTATGACAACAATACCCATCTGCTGTCGAGCATTACTGATACATATGGTCTTCAGCAGTTAATCAATAAGCATACCCGTATTACGAAAACAACTTCCACCTTGATTGATCTAATTTACACTAACTATCCAGACAGGGTAGTTTGTTCAGGAGTCTTGCATTGCAGTATAAGTGACCATAGCCTAATCTATGTCTACCGTAAATTTAAATACTGTATCTAGTAAAGGAAATAACTACATTACCTATAGAAATTTTAAGAAGTTTAATTGGGAAAACTTCCATAGTGATATTTCATCTCAAGACTGGAGTTACAATTTATCCAACATTCAAGACCCTAGTCTAATGTGGGCAGAATGGAAAAGTAAATTTTTAACTATAGCAGATAAACATGCTCCAATATGTACTAAGGATATTCGATCGAAGAACTCTCCATGGATAACATCTGATTTAAAAAAACGTATGCATGATCGTGACATAGCCAAAATAAAAGCTATACACTCTACTGTCCCTGGTGATTGGGACAATTTTAGAAGATTGCAAAATATTGTAAATAAGGAAATTAAACTCGCTAAAGAGTCTTATTATAGAAATGCATTTATGCAGCACAGTGGCAATTCTCGAAAGACATGGCAGATTGTCAATGACCTGACCTAACGTAAATCAAAAAGAAGATCTGTCAGGGAATTAAATTTTAATGGTAAGTCTATATCTAACCCATCAGATTTTCTAATGCATTTAATGGGCTTTTTTGACAATAGGACCTAAACTTGCTAGTGAAATTCCAGTAAGCAGTAGTCATACGAGTTACACTGATTATCTCATTAACACTGACAAAAGGTTTCAATTCATGCAAACTAACAATGATCAAGTATTTTCAGTGTTAAGCAAACTATGCGAATCAAAAGCAACCGGTCTTGATCAGATCTCAGCCAGACTTGTTCGAGAATGTGCTGATCTTATTTCTAGTTCCATAACCAATATTTTTAATCTTTCATTAATATTGGGTACATTTCCTGAAGATTGGAAATGTGCCAAAGTTACTCCAATCTTTAAACAAGGTACACAGAATGAAATGAATAACTACTGCCCAATTTCTGTGATTTCAGTAATGTCCAAAGCCTTTGAACGAATAATCTACAATCAACCGATCTATACATGTTAGAACATGATTTGCTATCCGAACACCAGTCGGGGTTTCGTTCTTTGCATTCAACGGCTATGGCCTTACTTGAGGCCACTGATAGTTGGGCTTACAATATTGACCGCGGCAATACTAATGCCGTGGTATTTCTAGACCTGAAACTATGGAATTCACAGAGTTGCCTACAAATGGTTTAAGTCATATTTGGAAGACCGTAGGCAGAAATGTTTTGTTAACGGGTCACTTTAAAAAAAATGTAGTCTTAGGTGCGGAATTCCTCAAGGAACAATCCTAGGACCGCTCCTGTTTCTGGTATTTATTAATGATTTACCAAATTGTTTACCTAATTCTCATCCCAAAATGTATGCAGATGACACTTATCTTACATATTCTGGTAGCGATATAAACACTATTCAATTTCATCTTAACGAAGACTTGGAAAACATTAATGAATGGTTAATATCAAATAAACTTACTTTAAATGTCTAAAACTGAGTACATGTTAATTGGGTCGAGACAATGTTTAAGAGCACGTGTCTCTAAAAACCGCCCACTGACTTGGGGCTCGAAAAATAAATTCCTTCGAAAATTTTACCGTGAACTACATTTACTTTAACAACAAACAAATGCTGTTTGGTATTTTGAAAATATATTTAGTTTCAAAGTTTTAGCGATTTTTTGGTCTCGCACCGTTGCAGGACAAATTCGCCGGCTAATTAAACGAAAAAATGGGCTGAATTTAAATAAACATAATTTCAAAAGTTCTTGTTTAAAATTTCTGATATTCACACCCAGCACCGGAAAACTATCGTAATTTCATCTAAACTAACTTAGGTTTTCAATTACAGAGCATTTGTGACAATATTTTGCAACAAAGAGCGCCATGTCAAAATACGGCTTTCAAATCCTACTATTTTCTACGCTGAATTTCTTAAAAGTGGGACCTAATTACATACGGTGACTAGTATAGTTGGAAAAAGGACACTTTGAAGTACTAAAAACCGTAATAAAACTCGTCTGCAAACGCGATTTGAACAATTGAGAGCTTCTGAAATTTGATACTCTTTATGGCCTTTTGTTTACATTAGAATGTTGCTGAGGTCAGACGTCTGAGTTCATGTCACTGCTAAAAATGCGCTGTAGTTCTGCCAAATAAGATTTCCCTCAAATAAGTTTATAGCAATGTAGTACTATAAATCTATATTTCTTTGTTTATGTCCACCGTAAGTGGTTCCAAGGGATTTGAAATAATAGGCATATAAATAAATAAACAACTTGACCAAATTAATATGCTACTCAGGGAAAAGCCCGCGTGCAACGCGAATTCTGTATGTGGCACATGCTACATATACTTTTTTTAGTTTGATTTAGAGTTTGCATTGCAGCATACTAAACTATTGCTTTGTTCGAAAAGTCTATAAATGTGCGAAGTTTAGTTCTGGAACCTTTCTGCGAAGTTGATCTTTGAATTCTACTGTATTGCTGCAAAATTTGAGAGTTAGTATGGATAATCTGTGTTCTTTTAATGCTATCGGTTCAACTGTATGCGGAGGGTGTCAGGGTGAATCGGGTATTAGAAGCTTAGAAGATTGTGATGAGAACATTCAAAACCATCTTTCAAGTTGCAGTTTGTGGAGATCTTATTTTAGCGAGCGCGAGCTGATTTTGAGAAGAGCGGAATTTTTACATGAAATATCAAGCGAAGAAATACGCTCTATGACAGTATGCCCAAACCACCGGTACAACTTCGGCCGATACTGGAGACCTCGTCTAACATGCCAACATCCTTCTCACACTGCGCCTGCACGTCGCTGCGAAGGAAAAGACAGTGGTGTAACCAGAACGATAATTGGGGGGGGGGGG